TGTTTTCCTCCCTCATCTCCTGGTTCCTGCTCTCTTCTTTTTCAAATCTTGAATATTGTTGGAAATCCTGCGTCGAGTCTCCACATCTCATCAGAGTTTCTGCACTTCCTCTCCAGTCTTCATCTAATCTGAATTTCAGATCATCTCTTAGTGTACTTTCCAATTAATTATATTCTGAATGATGTTGAACTATTTATTCTGAAAGATTTTTAATCATACCTTTAGGGAAGATTGTTTTAGAGTGATTTTTCTTCCGGGCAGGTTATCATCTAAAATATGCAGCTCGTGATTTAATCCAGTGTAGCCACTTTGAATCCATTGATCTCTTTTTCTGCTTTGGTGAAATGATGATTATTATTATTGCTAGTAGACACACAGCAGAGCTTGCTGAGAGAGGTTGTCATGGTGATGACGTGCATACAAAACTGCAGCTGCTCATCGTTTTATCTACCTCTCATATCATTCAGCAAGGTTTCATATGCAGTCAGAGGAGCTGTTAAATGATTATAAAAAGTCACATTATATTTAGGACAGATATGATATAAAAACACTTAGTCAGATCTATGTTGTTGTAGAACAAGCAATTTGCAATTTAGAACCTGTAAAGCTGCTGTGTAAATTCTAGTCCTCTATCGCTCCTGAAATGTATGTTTACCTTTATGATCAGCTCTCATGGGCAGCCACACATCGGCTTTGTAATAGAAATTGGAGGGATTGCCCATAGATCTTGTTGGTCAGCGTTTTAAGTGCTGAAATCGATGTAAAATAGTCAAGGGCGTTTATTTTCCTCACCTCTGGCACTCAGTCTCTACTCAGACTGTTCCATTTGGGTTTGAAACTTTTTTCACTTCTGTCAGTGACAATCAATTTCCTTGTTTTGTGGGTGAAGGTGCACAAGCGCACAAATCAAATCCATTTTATTTTAACCACAGGTGTTGGGAAGCCTTTTCAGAAGGAGTAACACATGAAGACTGCGTGCAGAGTTGAATGTGATTTGGATAGAAAAAGTTTGGTCAAATAGAAAAAGAAAAAATATATTTAAAAAAACAGCAGAGAATAAAGAAAATTTAAACCTGCCACAAAGCCTGTCCAGATGGATGGAGAAGAGCTGGTGTGTGTCCCCTCAAACACAACCTTGCGCCAGGACGTTTAATTCGTCTCTGATGGCCGGTGCAGGTGGGGCGCATTTGGCTCATCGTGGCAGTTTCACCCAGGAAGCACTAAATTGCACTGGAAACCAACCAGAGGATGTGGCTTTAGAAAAAGTTAACATGGCTGCAGAATAATGTTTGAGTGCTGTAAGGCTTTGTGTAATGTACATTAGTGCCCACTGCCATTTAGGCTTTGATTATCCACAGTTTATGACGGATGCTCATTCAAAAATGTAGGAACTGCAGCTTCAGACTGGAGACACCAAATATGATTTGCTCTCCAGCGTGGTTAAGTGTACAAACAACAGATAATGTTGCTTATTATCTGTTGTGGCAACAAAATTGCCTCCGCAAATTATGTTCTTAAACTCTGGAGGCAGAGTTTCAGAATTTGCTCTTTTAGGTGAACAATACCACAGGACTTTTACCAGTTTGTTGCCATTATTATAGATAATTGATGCTCAGTCTAGGCAGTGTTGTATATTCTACATCTTTCCGTAGAAGAGATTCCTATTGCTTCCAGAAAAAGAAAAAAAAAGTTTCTCCAAAAGTGCACACATGAAATCATTTATCCATTGTAGCTGGATGTTGTCGTCACTACAGTTTGACAAAACTCTGAAAACTTTAAACTGATGAACTATGAGCTCTTTGTATCCAAGTGTCTTCAACTTTTAAGAATATCACGGATGCAGACAGGCATTAAGTAAGGAGTGCTTCCAAAGCATAGGGAGAAAAAACCATTAGCAGTCAGCTTTCTCCTTTCACTGCAAGAATGTGATGGAAACGCCACACTAAAAAAGAGTAAGAGCTTCTCTAATCGTGCCAGAAAACTGCTCCTAATTATAAAGCAACCTCTTCATTGGCACTGGAGTGTGAAGCCTGTTAATACACAAAGTTACAGGAATGTTTGGAAAAATAAGTGCTCATTGCAAATTATCTCTGATTATAAAAGAAAAGAGACAGAGACTTTGTCTTTATACCAACTGATTCATGTCATGCGGAGCTGCGGTCCTGCCTCACGATTGGAAGTGATCAATATGAAGTCGGACAGAGTTGATCGGAGCAATATCTTTGGAATATCCAAGGACAATCATTTTACTGCTGTCTAATGTCGTGCTTAGACGCTTTTCGCTTTCAGGTTGTCACAGTCCATTGACCCGTTCGCTTGCGTTCAAAGTTCTATGTTGATTTCATCCTGTCATCTCTGCCCTTTTGCTTTGAGACACCCTGTTATGTTCAGCAGCTGTGGAGGGAGGAGGCAGAATGTATCCCATCTCCATTAACTTAAGGGCTGAATCCGATCTGCGTGTGTCCGTGTGTGTGCACATGCTTGTTGAAGTATAAATAAAACACTTTGTGACAGGGGGCGGATAGTGAAACAGCCTCAGACGACTCTGTTGACTTCCTGCCGCCTCCTCGGGAGGTTCCTGGCCTGTGGCTGCACACAGTACCTTACGGATTTGTGACTTATGAATAGTGTAAAAGAATGACTATCTTATATGGGACATAACTCTAAAATAAGGCCTATTTTTGTACTACATGAATGGTGCAGTGTAATTTTCTTGTAATTTAAGGATTTTTTTTTTTGCTCTTGTTTTTCTTCTTTTTATTTAATTGATGTCAATTATAGATTCTACTAAAATAAAGATCTATGCAAATTTGAATGTGTTTTTCTTCAGTTGAACACACTTTTAATCAGTACTTGATGGTATTAATGTAGGGTGGTGATAGGAGTACTCAACAACAACTTAAAGTACTAGAGCAAAGTAAAAATACTAAATAGTGAGGATACACTGAACAACCTTTTTACAGCAAAAGTATCAGCAGCTTATTTTGCATTATATGAAAAGTAAAAACGTATTTTCGCTCTTTAGTTGATCCAACACTTCGCTCTGATATCAACTGCTGTTAGATTTGCATGAAATTTTATTCAGATGTTCGTGGACTAAAAACCCACCAACTTTAGCAAACACCATGACACACAGGATAAATTATATATTTTTTACTTGAGTATAATTTTAATGTTCTTCTCTTCAAGTGTTTAATTTCCCCACCCCTTTACACATCTTCACTATATTTTAATGGAATCGTTTCCTCACTTTTAACTCTAATTATTTTACCGATATAATTCTACATGCAAAATACATTTAAAAAAAGTAAATTTGATACACTGAACACAAGTCATCTGTAAAAGCAGCTTCTTCCTAAATTCTTTGAGGTATTCACAAAAACAATTCTGTTGTGCTGAAGGTCCTGGCTTTCACAGTTTAAAATGTCTACATGAGACTGTCTGTCCAGTTTGTGCAGCATTTTGGTTTATTACAAAATGTAACTAATGACATCCACATTAACTAGTAAGATGAACATGACAATATGGACACAGATAATTAAGCTTCCACATCATGTCATAAGTTATATTTAAAGATTAGAATAAGTCGACATTATAGCAGTGATATTTTTACATTTCAAACCCACAGTGCAGCATCATTCTTTGCTTGTAGCCTCAGTGTATCTGCTGTGCTGTGTGAACACACCCTGAGGACTACTGCATTAGTATTTCTCTGTGGTTTGTCCCTTCTTCTCTCCAGCGTGTAAAATGAGTGTATCTGATGATGTATAGCTGGTGTAATTAAGCCAATGGGTTTACAAGAGAGAGGTTTCACCCAACTCCAACCGAGTCATAAATACAAGTAATGAAGTGAGACTGGGTTCACGCTGAGGTAAAAAGAAAATGAAAAGCTTTTTCTTGTTTTATGCAACAAACACCATCAGCAGTTTTTACAGTATGTGAACAGTGCACTTCGGAGGACCCCCCCCGGCATCTAGGGAAAGTTTGTTTAACAGCCATTGTTTAAAGGTTAATAATAACAATATTTGTCATCAATTCCTCTTTGTTTTATGTGTAATATCATATATGGTTCAGCAGTAAACCTCCACCTGCCTGCATCAAACTTCCTGTTGGGAAAACTTTGCTCCAATAGCCTTTCCACCAACACAACACGTAGAGGGGACACATACTTTTTAGAGCGTGTGAACCAGCTCAAATTAAAGGACCCTGACGATGAGCACTGTCTCTTTTAAACACAAATGTATGTAGTTTTTTGTATTTTGGTAATTCTAGTGAATTACTTTTATCAAACAAAACAATGGAAAAATTCAAGTACTTTGTCGCATTGTGTATAAAGATGGCCGACTGCTCCCCAAAAGTGAAGCCAAAGAATCTCAATCATCACCTCCTCCATGTTAATGTAAGGGACATGGTCCAAAGTAGAAAGTTAAAAAGGACTCATCAGAATAAGTTTGGACTGAATTAGTTCTTTCATGTTATATATTGGGGTGAAGCGTGATGATTGACAGCCTCTTGGTGGTGGTGGAGCATGTGGGACCTCAGGTAATTATTGCTCATCTGTGTATTTATTGCTGAAGACATTCAGAGATGGATTGTGGAGCGTTATCTTCAATTGGCTCAGCAGCAATGTACAGTTGTGTATCATCTGCGTATCTATGGAAATGAATTACTCAAGTAAAATACATGTAGCATGTAACACTAGCACTGTATCTGTGCAAATACTGTTGAAATAAGTAGTTAATACTGTCTGTTACAACATGTGTGTCTAAAACTATAGCTTTTGCAAAACTATGCCTTGTTCCTAAATTGAAAGTAACAATTCTATAATGAGCATAACCACATTCAAACAGAGACGAGGAAGTGCTTTCTCACATGTGCCTCTGCACTTTTTTTTTTCACGGGGAAGTGAAAGCCCTCGATGGTCTCAGAGTTAAAGTTTCTCTTGGTCACTGGCACTGCTCAGTTTGTGTCTCATGAGAAAACACAGAGGAGCTGTAATTTACTGCTGACAACAAATCCTTGGCAGGGAGGAGAGTCCAAATATTCAGAGATGGCTTTTGGGGACGACCTGCGGTGCCCACAGGCTCATGCAGCAGTCATGCGGCTGCTGGACTCAGAGCTTCACCTGATGGAGGTCATGAAGAAGTGGATGGGTCAGCGGGCCAAGAGCGAGCGAGAGTTCTCAGTGCAGCTGCATCACATGACTGCCATGGTGGAGAAGCTGGAGAGACCTCAGCTCGGTGCGGGACAGGACTACATCAGCCAGCTCAACAAGGTGAGATGGTAAATATCACACTGCTAACTGATCACCACCCGTCACTTCAGTGACACATACAAATGATTTAGGTGCCGAGATGAATTAGCAGCCGACCTAGGCTGTTTTAAGTTGGGTTACTTATTTTGTCATATGAGGAAGAAACTGTTTCATAATTACAGTTGAGCTTGTGAATAAAAACATTTTCTTGGCGAGCTCTTTCTTAAATTATTTCAGATAGTTACAACATTTCTGTTCTGCTGAGGGTCCTGGTTGACATAAATTAATTCCCAACATAAATAAGATGAAACTTAAAGTTGTTATTTCATACACCTCTCCTATGTCTCTGTTTGTCTGTGTTAAAACGAGATCTGATCATCACATTTACATGGACAGTGAGTGTTACAGGAATGTCAGACTTTCGACTCCTGAGTTACAACCAATAAATTGATGGCGTTGTATTCCTACCTTTAACTCAGAGCTGTATCTGCACGTTACATACATTTGTCCGCAATTTTAGCCATTTTCTATTAATAGCTAAGTTAAGTCATGTCTATGAAATGCATGTGGCAGCCAGTAGTATTAAAACATGACATAACAAAATGGCAATCATTATTATCAATGAGATGAGATTCTGTATATTTCTACAGAAACCAGAAACTAATGAACGACCCTGGCAGATGTCTATTCATCTGGTTTAATTGACCTTTTCCCTCTGTCTGTCAGTCGTGGGACGTGCTGGTCTCTCAAACTGACGCTCTCAGTCAGGTGATGAAGAAGCGCTCTGAGGACCTGCTTGACGGTCCCATCAGCAAACTTACGCTGCTCATCAGAGACAAACAGCAGCTCCGCAAAACCTACACAGAGCAGTGGAATCTACTGAGGCAGGAGCTCAGCAAGGTGTGTGACTCACACACACACTGTAAACTAAGATGAGGGACATCATATGTACTTCGTTCAAACAAAATTCTATTTCACTTTT